CCTTGACTAGACGGACCTTTGTTGACAAGTAATGTCTTTGCTTTTTAATGTGCTGTCTAGGTTGGTCATAACTTTCCTTCCAAGGAGTAAGCGTCTTTTAATTTCATGGCTGCAGTCACCATCTGCAGTGATTTTGGAACCCCCAAAAATAAAGTCTGCCACTGTTTCCACTGTTTCCCCATCTATTTGCCATGAAGTGATGGGACCAGATGCCATGATCTTTGTTTTCTGAATGTTGAGCTTTAAGCCAACTTTTTCATTCTCCTCTTTCACTTTCATCGAGAGACTCTTTAGTTCTTCTTCACTTTCTACCATAAGGGTGGTGTCATCTGCATATCTGAGGTTATTGATATTTCTCCCAGCAATCTTGATTCCAGCTCGTGCTTCTTCCAGCCCAGCGTTTCTCATGATATACTCTGCATAGAAGGTAAATAAGCAGGGTGACAATATACAGCCTTGACGTATTCCTTTTCCTATTTGGAACCAGTCTGTTGTTCCATGTCCACTAATCATTAGGGATATGCAAATCAGAACCACAATGAGATATCTCCTCACACTTGTTAGGATGGTTACTATTTTAAAAATGTAAATAACAATTATTGGTAAGGATGTGAAGAAACTAGAGCCTTTATGCACTGTTGGTAGGAATATAAAATGGTGAAACCATTATGGAAAATAGTATAGTGTTTCCTAAAAACATTAAAAATAAACTTGTTACTAGAAGAGTTTGGGGTCTGGCTGCTTGTCACTGAAAAGCCAATAAACAGGCTAGGTTGGTGAAAAGGAAAGTTTGCTTTAATTCAGATGCTGGCAACTGGCTGGGAGGATGGACATCTGTCCAAAGGCTGACTTCCCCCTACTGGCAGTCGGTGGGGCAAGAGCCTTTATAGACAGAAATGAGGGGAGGGGGCGCCTACATGCGGACACCAAACAGTCGTCTCTGACACTCATCTTCAGATTGGCCATCGGTGGTCTGACCAGTGTCATTTTGATTGTTTTAGGTACAGTTAATCTTCAGTTCCAAGGTCCATTTGTTCTCATTTCTTTGAGGCCAGCTCTCAGAATTGTGGCTGTTTATGTCGAGTACAGTCTGGTCATCACGCGGCTAGCTTTATTGACCTGGGATTTCGGTATCTATAGGATAGCTCACGCGATGCGGCTCAGGATATGGTCTCTAGTCCTTTAGAAGGAGCTGAGAGTCCTTGACTGTGCATAATGGCTACATTATTGTTGTTATTGTTCTCCCTTGACTGTTTTCCTTTGTTTCTGCATTTCTCGTTTCTCTGATTAAGCTTATTTTTCAGCTAAAGTTTTCCACAGACAAAAGGCAGGCAAAGGACATGGGACGGAGGGGCAAAGACCACAGACAGAGTCCTGCTCTGTTTCTGAGTTACCCTGTGGTCTAGCAGTCCCACTTTGGGGTATGTTTCCAGAAGAATTGAAAGCAAGATCTTGAAGAGCTACATCCACACCCATGTTCATAGCAGCAATAGCAGCACTATTCATAATAGCCAAGAAATGGAAGCAACCTAAATGTCCATCAGTGAACTGAAATAAATGTGGTAAATACATGCAGTGGACATCAACCTGAGCAAACTCTGGGAGATAGATGGTGGAGGACAGGGAAGCCTGGTGTGCTGCAGTCCATGGGGTTGCAAAGAGTCAAATACGACTTAGCAACTTAACTACAACAGTATATACAGCGGATTATTATTCAACCTTAAAAAGAAAGGAAATTTTGACACATGTCCAATATGGATGAATTTTGAGGACATCATGTAAAGAAGTAAGCCACTCACAAAAAGTCAAATACTATATGATTGCATTGATGTGAGGTATCTAGAGCAATCCAGCTCACAGAAACAGAAAGTAGAATGATGCTTATCAAGGGTTGTAGGGGAGTTGGAGGATGATGGAAACGGAGTCATTGTTGTAGTGGTATAAAGTTTCAGTTCTGCAACATGGAAAAATTCTGGAGATTGATTACACAACAGTGTAAATATATGTAACCCTGCTGAACTATGCATTTAGAAATGGTTATAAAAGGGTAAATTTTATGTTATGCATTTTTTACCACAATAAAAAAGAATATAAAAGCAAAGTTTATTATGATTATAAGGTCATAATTTAGAAACAAAAGATCTAGACACAGATGACACTTTGTCAGCAAACTTTGACAAGTTTGCTAACACTTGTCAAATAGAGTTTGTGAATTTTTAAGCTGTGACTTTTCATCAGTATAATTCTACTCTTTGCTCTTATTGCACTTTTATTTGTCTTTATTTACCCTAGTTGGTTGATTCACTCAGTATCCCCAGTTTAGACCTTCATAAAGAGGTTGAATGGCTCAGGAAATTCCTCTTTTCTGTATTGGCAGTGATTTTCTAACCAGGCCCTATTGTCATACCTGTGAATTGCAAGGCCTTGTGTCAAGGATTCTGCTTTGGCTCAGTCAGTGGCCACCTCTTAACTGGGGACTGTGAAAGAGGCAGTTTCTCTTATTAGAGATCAGTGAACGTCCGCAAATACATGCATTCAGTTCAGTTCACTCACTCCATCGTGTCCGACTCTTGGTGACCCCATGGACTGCAGCATGCCAGGCTTCATACATGCATAAAGGTAGCCAAATACAATTTAAATAAGACATTTCAAATCCTTTTAAAGTAGATACTGCTTTAGAATAATCATAAAGAAGATACAGTGGATGCCATGATGAGGGACTCAGTCACCTGCTTCAGGACCAGGGCCCTCCTCCAGGAGTGGTGCCTGCTGAGGGCTCATAGCTGAGTCTCTCCAGGAATTGCCTCTGCACAAGAGAGCTGCATTGTCCACAGTTACACCCCTCTCTAGCAGAGAGCTTGCATCTAATAATCGGGTATGGGTGTGAGGGTTCAAAAGCCTGGTCCCATTGCCTTAACTTGGAACAACTTAAAGAGCCCCAGCTTCGTGCTCTGTGTAGGATGGGCTGAGCCTTGTAACAGCACTGCAGCTCTGTCGAGTCTTCCTGCCCTCACTCACGTTAGAGGGGGCTCTGCAGTAAGCTTCACGCGTTCAGAGACTTCCCCAGAATCCAGCCTAAAGCAGAGGAATGTTTTGTTTTCCCACCTTCAACTTTTTGAAATATTCTCTCTGAAATTTCTTTTTTTTCAATTTTCAAGGCTTACATGAGATATTCAGTTTATTAATTCTGTCACTAGTTTTGAGCCTGTGGAATGATAGATTCTGAAATATGGCATTTTTTAAGCCAGTATTTTTTATAAGATATTTTAAGAATGCAAGGAAGAAAACTAAGTTTTCTGAGAAATGTTTATGTGATATTAATAGGATTTGACATTATTATAAAAGTTCTTTTTTCATTGGCTTAACCAATTAGGATTTCAGTTTGACATTTTAAGTCTTTTATTGAAACTGTCGCCAAGTAATTAAGTACAGGGATTTTGAGGTACTAGATAATTCACTTTTTTTTTGGTTTTGCTACTTCAGACAGACGTTTCTCATTAGTTTGTCTTCCTGCAGTGATGTTCATAAGAAGTAACAAACAAACATATGGCTGCATGCTCCATGGGTGGGACCAGGGAGTGAGTGTGGAGCCTAAGTGTGTAATGATCACTCTTAACACCTTCGTAACTGTGAGTCAGACTTGATGTGACTCATATCCTTTTCATTCAGTAAGCATTTGTTAAGAACCTCTTGCTTGTCAGACCCTGGGCCAATCTGATGATGCAGCCATGGCTCTGACGGTCTCTGTCCTCAGGGACCTGACCTGAGGGAATGTATTAATTTGCTTAGATCTGTATTCTGTTGCCCTGGGGATACAAAGATCTAGAGATAGTCTATTGAGTTTTGTGTCAGACATTAGAAACATTATTATGTATTAATATAAAATTTGTCATGGTAAAGAAAGAGGTTTGTATAAGGAGTAGAAGTGTAATTAATCTAAAAGAGGATCTGTTGAAAGAACATTTCTAGAGCTGCCAAGAAATAGAAATCTGGCCTAGGAAGACCCTAGGATTTATGTAATCTATAGCTATTCCAAAAGTTTTAGAGGATCCTCAAGAAAAAGGGACAGATACTTAAGTGTCCTAGGTGTTTACTGAAGAGTCCAGTCAGTCTCCCACACTAAATCAGTGGTTCTTTTCCCTAGAGCAGTGACTGCCTTGTTTTTTATATTCTGTAGAATCTAGTACAGTGCCTTGCACATAACAAGTTTCACTAAGTGTTGGTTAAATTTGTCTGTCTGTGCTAGCTTACTAAGTCGCTTCAGTTGTGTCTGACTCTTGTGACACTATGGCCTGTAGCCCACCAGGCTCCTCTGTCATTGGGATTCTCCAGACAAGAATACTGGAGTGGGTTGCCATCCCCTTCTTCAGGGAATCTTCCTGATCCAGGGATCGAACCGTGTCTTACCATTAGCACCACCTGGGAAGCCCTTTTAAAATTTGTCCATACCAGTGTTTTTCAAAGTGTGGTCTGTAGATCCAAGAATCTTTCAGGGAGTCTGTAAGGTTAAAACTATTTTCAGTAATGTGTTTAGTCACTCAGTCATGTCTGACACTTTGCAACCCCATGGACTATAGCCTGGCAGGCTCCTCTGTCTATGGAATTCTCTAGGCAAGAATAGAAGGATCTTCTCCAGGTGGTCTTCCTGAGCCAGGGATCGAATTCTGGTGTCCCGCATTGCAGGCACACTCTTTACCCTCTGAACTTCCAGGGAGGCCCATTTTCAGTAATACTGTGCATTGTTTTCATTAAAAAAATTTCTGTGTCCTTTGCCCCCGGGCACCTACAATAAGGTACCTACAATAAGATCAAGAAATCTAAGTTGAATTCTGTTTTAAAAGCCAAATGTGTTTTTATTATATTGGTATCATGTCTGTTATATAAGGATGTAGGCTATAATGGTGGCTTTTGTGTGCTATAAACATGAATATAGTCTTTTGAATATTTGCCTGTTACGATTTGGTGTTACTTATGATTCTGTCTTTCCTCTTTTTTTTTAGGAGTCTACCATGGCTCAAGAATCTCCAAAAAATGCAGCAGCAGAAATCCCAGTGACTAGTAATGGGGAAGTTGACGACTCTCATGAACATGGCTTTAATAGGGTAAGAACACTTCTGTCTCTCAATACAAAGAATCATGATAAGCCCTTAGGTGCTGAGATGAGAGTAATAGAGTTTATTCATAATATAGGAATGTGTTCTTAGATTGACTATATTCTGGAAGCTAATGTTATTATGGAGGGATGACTAGGTGGGTCATGTTAGTAATTTGTCCAGAATAAGCTTCTGGCCAGTAAAGCATTTAGGCTTTGATGTTGCTATCTGTAATTTTATTATATAATCAGAGCAAGAGTGCATCTAATGATTTTGGCATATAACTTTTTTAAAAAACTACTTCATTCTACTTGTGATAAGAAAAAATATTAACTAATAGATTATCCTTTAAAATGTTGGTCTCTTTTCTTAGTATATAATTCCTATGTAGGTGCCTCTTCATTTTGCTGTTTACTTTCTAGAGTGACATATTTGACTCAGTGGAAAATGAAACTTGGAATCTGTTTAATTTCAATGTGTCTCTCATTCGAAATTGAAATTTAATGCATTTAAATGGAAACACCATGGGTTTAGAGATAATGTGGGTTCAAATTTCAGCATGCCTTTCCTAGCAATGTAACCTTGGGCAGATATTTACTTATTCTAATATCTCTAAATGAGAATTTTATTTTTATGGTGATGTTAATATTAAATGAGATTAAAATAAGTAATATGCTTAATATAGTCCTAGAAATGATAGTGATGTTAGTTATTTCTGGAGATATTTCCGTTAAACATTCTTTTTTGACACGTGTCAAACACTTGACGTGTACAATGTTAAATAACTTTAAAAATACAGTTTTCATATTCTTGAAAAAGTAATGGTTGAAAGATACTTGAATTATTTTACAGCTTAAATTGGACTCTTACTACATACATTTGAGAATAAAATTCTTTATTTTAGTTTAACAGAAGATAATATTTAATTTTTAATTTTTAAAAATTTATTTTTTTAAAATATTTATTTTTGGCTGCATTGGGTCTGCACTACAGCTTCTCTCTGGTCGTGGCGTGGGCTCTGTGGTCGTGTGTGGGCTCTGTGGTTGTGCGTGGGCTCTGTGGTCATGGTACAGGGCTCTGTGGTTGTGCGTGGACCCTGTGGTCGTGCATGGGCTCTGTGGTTGTGTGTGGGCCCTGTGGTTGTTTTTGGGCTCTGTGGTCATGGCACGGGGCTCTGTGGTCGTGTGTGGGCTCTGTGGTCATGTGTGAGCCTTGTGGTGGTGTGTGGGCTCTGTGGTCATGGTACGGGGCTCTGTGGTCATGGTACGGGGCTCTGTGGTTGTGTGTGGGCTCTGTGGTTGCAGCCCACAGGCTCTCTAGTTGGGGTGCAAGGTCTTATTTGCCCCACAGTATGATGGATCTTAGTTCCCCGACCAGGAATTGAACTCATGTCTCCTGCATCGAAAGGCAGATTCTTAACCACTGGACCACCAGGGAAGTCCCCAGAAGGTGGTATTTTAGATCACAATTTCTTGTTCCCAGTATTATTGACATTTGGGGCCAGAAAAATTCCTTTGTGGAGGGTTAGCCTGTGCATGTAGGGTGGTTAGCAGTATCCCTGAGCTCTTCCTAGTAGATGCCAATAGCCCCTTCAGTAGTTGACAAGCACAAATGTACCCAGACATTGCTGAATGTCAGCGGTAGGGAGAAACTTGCCTCTGGTTTTAGATGGATCGTTTTAATGGACTTTTGGGAAATTCCACTCTATTTCACTTATTTTTGCCTCAAGTCATTTAGAAGAAGCAGATGTGTCTTCAAGCTTCGGATGTGTTTTTATTTTAATTGCAGGTGTTTTAATTTGGTTTGCAAGGATCCGTAGGCCAGTACCGAGTGCTGACAGAATGTGTATACCGGAAACACCTGAAACTCACACAGCATTGTAAATCAGCTGTGTGTGCTCAGTCACTCAGTGGTGTCCGACTGCTTGCAACCCCGTGGTTGCCAGGCTTCTCTGTCCATAGTATTTCCTAGGCAAGAACACCAGAATGGCCATTTCCTCCTCCAGGGGATCATCCCGACCCAGCGATCAAACCGTCATCTTTTGTGTATCCTGCCTTGGCAGGTGGAAATTCTGAGCACTCAGAGGAAATTTTCACTTCATATTTTAGTCTTTCTGGTATTTGAAAGCACTGAGATATACTTGCATATTAAGGAAACTCAAGTTACCATCATTAGACACTCTACCAATAGCTTTATAAAATTCTATTAAATAACTCATTATACCACGATTTTAGTTAATGATTGCTTTGTCTTATTTTTGGTAACAGCTCCTTTTTGTGAAGTTATCCTGCAGATATTAAGTGTATGTTGTATACCAGGCACTAGAGATGACTGCCTGGTTCACAACAAAATGACAGAAATACCTGCCACCAGAGAGTTGATATTCTTATAGACAGTCTAATGAAACTGTTTATCTAAGAAGAATGCAGTACATACAAAATGCTGCGTTGTTTTGAAGATTCGCCTGCCATCTTTAGCTTGGGGTTTTCGGTTTTGTTTTTGTTTTTTTTTTTTTGAGCTATAGCTTTTACATAGTGAAAAGCACAGATGTTGAGTGTACAGCTCAGTGGAACTACCACCCACATCAAGATGTAGACCATATCCAGGTCTTTCCCAGCCCCCTTACCCTCTTCTAGGCGATACATCTCCTCCCTTCTAGAGTAATTCCTGCTGTCTTCATTCTGTCATCAGTGATTGCTTTTGACTCCTCCTGAAATGCATGTAAATGGATTATACTAAGTGTATTCTTTTCTGACTGACTTTCACCCAGCATTATATCTGTAATATTGTTGTTGTTGCTTTGGCAATATTTAATTCTTTTCCCCTGGAGAAGGAAATGGCAAACCACTCCAGTATCGTTGCCTGGAAAATCCCATGAACAGAGGAGTCTTGCAGGCTATAGTCCATGGTTTGCAAGAGTGGGTCACAACAACGACTAAACCACCACCAGTTCTTTTTCGTTGTAATACGGTTTTCCATTGTGTTAATACTCCACAGTGTGTGTTGATAGGCCATAATTTGTTTATCCATTCGGTTTGTTTGTTTTTTAAATTTATTATTTGTTTTTCTTTTATTTATTTTTGTTTCTGGTGGGGTTTTTTGTTTGTTTTTTTAATGTATTTTTTAATTGAAGGATAATTGCTTTACAATTTGTTGTTTGTTCTGTCAAACATCAGCGTGAATCAGCCATAGGAGATGCCTGAGTTGTCTCCAGTCTGCCCCTATTATGAATAAAGCTGCTGTGGCCATTCTTGTATAGGTCTTTCGGTGTACATGATCACCTGTTTCTGTTGGGTATTTACCCTGGAGTGGAATTGCAGGTCACGTGTACATGACATTTGGCTTTGGTAGATTTTGTCAACTAGTTTGCCAAATGATCAAATTAGTTGACAGTCCTGCCAGCGGTGAATAAATGTTCTAGTTGTTCCACATCATTACCAGTTTTTGGTATTGTCATACTTTTAAGTTTTTGCCATTCTGATGAAATCATAGTAGTTATCTCGTAGTTTTAACATGCATCTCCTTGATGACTAATGACATTAAGCATATTTTCAGATTCTTACTGACCATTTGAATATTATCTTTTATGAAGTACCTTTTCAAGTCCTTTGCTCGTTTTCTGTTAAGTTATGCCTTTTTCTAGTTCATTTGTAGCAGTTCTTTATATGTTCTGGGCATAAGTCATTTGTATGGATGTGTGTATTGCAGATGTTTACCTCCAGTCTGTAACCAGCTTTTGTACTATATTAACGGTATCTTAGATGACCAAAGACTAACTTTAATGCAGTCCAGTTTATTAGTGTTTCCCTCCCTTGAGTGATTTTTGTGACCCTTGTATCTTTGCCTGTCCCCATATCAGGAAGATACTCCGTCTTCTAGAAGTTTTTCTGTCTTACTTCTCACACACAGGTCTCTGATCCCTCCTGAACTGTGTGTGTGGCATCATGTAGAAGTCAAGGCTCGTTTTTTCCCGTGTGCATATCATGTGATGTGCATCGTTTATTGAAAAAAAAAATTCTTTCTCCACACAGGGGCCTTTGCTGTTAATCAGGTGATCATATATGTGTAGCTGTATTACTTGGCTAACTGTGTTATTTCTTGGTCTTTTTGTCTATCCTTGCAGTGATACCACACTGTCTGACCCACTTACTAGAGTAATTAAGTCTGAAATAAATAGTAGCATCAGCCTTGTACCTGGTAATTCCTCTAGCTTCTTTCTTCTTCAGGGTTACTTTGTACCTTAAACCTATTCATGAGTCTTTAGTTAAGTACCTTCATTTGCCTTTGAGTATCACTGATAAGTTTTCTTTAATCCTTTCAGATTTTAATTTTAGACTCTTTTAGAGTGAAGTGAATTAACTCATATATCTGTGTAAGTTCTTTGCTTACATAGTCAAAGCCAGTTAACTTGCTGCTTTATAGGTTAACTTCTTACTTAATGTCTCTTTTTGGAGATTCCCCTATAATGTTTCACTTTCTATTGAGGGATAGAGAAGGAAAAAAGGAAATGTTGTCCTGGAAGTCTCCTCTTAATAGATATGAACTTTACCAGTAGACAGAATTCTTCCCTCATAGCTCAGTTGGTAAAGAATACGCCTGCAGTGCAGGAGACCGCAGTTCGATTCCTCGGTCGGGAAGATCCACTGGAGAAGGGATAGGCTACCCACTCCATTATTCTTAGGCTTCCCTGTGACTCAGCTGGTAAAGAATCCACCTGCAATGCGGGAGACCTGGGTTCGATCCCTGTGTTGGGAAATCCCCTGGAGAAGGGAAAGGCTACCAACTCTGGTATTCTGGGCTGGAGAATTCCATGGACCACATAGTCCCTAGGGTCGCAAAGAGTCGGACGCAACTGAGTGACGTTCACTTTCACTTCACTTACCAGTAGGCAAGACTCCTTGGAAGCAATAATTCAGTACACCCCACTTTACCTCCATAAAGAAGTTCAACATCATAAAGCTTGTTTCTCTTTGTACCTTCTCTTATGAAAGAAAAAAATGTATCATGAG